TCCAGCTACTTGGAAGGCTGAGGCGGAAGGATTGCCGGAGCCCAGCAGGTCGAGGCTGCGGTGACCGGAAGCGGCCACTGCACTCCAGTCTGGGCAACAGAGTGAGACTCCAATTCCAAAAAAAAAAGAAGAGTTGTTCAAGCACAAAGTTTGAGTATAGCTGCCTGGAAAGTACAGATTCCAAAGAATAGAAGTGTAGCAGTTTGGGATCATTTTTATAGGCAAAGTTTAGGAAAGTTTAACAGAATTTCAAAATCTTTGTATATAAGGTTTAATGCATAGTTACAACCATCTGATTACTTGAGGTGGTCTTTTTTTCCCAGAAACAGTAAGTTCCCTACATATAAACCTCCAAATTGTAAACTTCCTTTTTTAATTTTATTATTATTTTTGAGTTGGAGTGTTACTGTCGCCCAGGCGGAAGTGCCATGGCACGCTCAAGACCACTGCAGCCTCGACCTGCTGAGCTCAGGCCATCCTTCCACCTCAGCCTTCCAAGTAGCTGGAACTACAGGCATGCACCACCATGCCTAGCTCATTTTTTTATTTATTGTAGAGACGAGGCCTTGCCAAGTTGCCCAGGCTGGTCTTGAACCCATGGGCTCAGACAATCCTCTCACCTCAGCCTCTCAAAGTTCTGGGATTATAGGTGTGAGCCACCACACCGGCCTTAAGCTATGAACCTTCAAAGACACGAATGTGTATTTGCATGTCCAGTCACATAAGTTATTTAACATGCTTTGCGTACATTGTCATGTGTGCATCTTTTATAAGTGGCTGTGTTTTTGTATAGTATTGTATGGAGTACAGTAATACAATATCTTTATTTCAAGTCCAGGTTGTCCGGAAACAAATGTAAAAGCAGTGGTGGTATAGCTGGTAGTACACAGCTGATTGTGTTGTTGGGTACCTAGGCTAACTTTGTTGGACTTACAAACAAATTGGACTTACACACTCTCAGAAAGAAACTTGTTTGTATGTAGGGGACTCACTGTATTTAACTTACCACACTGAAGATGTAACAGCCATGGGGCCTTTTATTAAGCCTTTTGGTCTGAGTTAGGTACAGGACAATAAAAGAGGCAGTTAATCTGTAACAAACATTAGTGATTAGAAGTGGGGGAGAGGTCGGAATGGGAGTACAATGACCACTGCAGCCTCCACCCGCTGGGGTCCAACAATCCTTCTGCCTCAACCTTCCAAGTAGCTGGAACTACAGGCATACGCTACCACGCCCGGCTAATTTTTTATTTATTGTAGAGAAGAGGTCTGGCCAAGTTGCCCAGGTGGGTCTTGAACCCATGGGCTCAGGCAATCCACTCACCTCAGCCTCCCAAAGCGCTGGGATTACAGGCTGAGCCACTGAGCCCGGCCTCCTTCTTCTTTTAAGACAGGGTCTTGTTCTGCAGCCCAGGCTGCAGTGTATTGACACTCTCATAGCTCACTGCAGCCTTGAACTCCTAGGCTCAAGCAATGCTCCCACCTCAGCCTTCTGAGAGTAGCTGGGACTACAGGTGCATGCCACCATGCCTGGCTAATTTTTTTTTTTTTTTTTTTTTAGTTGGAGTCTCATTCTGTCACCCAGGCTGGAGTGCAGTGGCATGCTCACGACTACCCCAGCATCGACCTGCTGGGCTCCAGCGATCCTTCCGCTTCAGTCTTCCAAGTAGCTGGAACTACAGGCACGTGCTACCTCGCCTGGCTAATTTTTTTGGATTTATTGTAGAGATGAGGTCTCACCAAGTTGTCCCGGGCTGGTCTCAAACCTGCAGCTCAGGCAATCCACTTGCCTCAGTCCCCCAAGGTGCTGGGATTACAGGCTGACCTGGCTAATGTTTAAATTTTTTTGTGGAGGTGGGATTTCATTCTGTTGTCCAGGCTGGTCACAAACTTCTATACTCAAACAATCCTTCTGCTTCAGCCTCCTATAGGTACAAGCCACTGAAACTGGCCTTTTTTGTTTTTGTTTTTGTTTTAAATCCGAGTCTAACTCTGTCGTCCAGGCTGGAGTGCAATGACATGATCCCAGCTACCACAGCCACAACCTGCTGGGCTCAGGTGATCCTTCCATCTCAGCCTTCCAAGTAGCCGGAACTATAGATGTGTGCCAACACACCCAGCTCATTTTAAAATTTTTATTGTAAACCACTGGGGAGAGGAGAACCTATTCAGTAAATGGTGCTGGGAAAACTGGCTGACCACGTGCAGAAGATTGAAATAGTACCTCTACCTATCACCATACACAAAAATTAACTCTAAATGGATCAAAAGCCGGGCTCAGTGGCTCAGACTGTAATCCTGCGCTTTTGGGAGGCTGAGGTGAGTGGATTGCCTGAGCCCGCGGGTTCGTGACCCACCTGGGCAACTTGGCGAGACCTCATCTCTACAATAAAAATAAAAAAATTAGCCGGGTGTGGTAGTGCGGGTCTGTAGTTCCAGCTACTTGGAAGGCTGAGGCGGAAGGATCACCGGAGCCCAGCAGGTCGAGGCTGCGGTGGCCGGGAGCGGCCACTGCACTCTAGTCTGGGTGACAGAGTGAGACTCCAACTCAAAAAAAAAAAAAAAGAGAGAGACAGTCGGGCTCAGTGGCTCAGCAGTAATATTACCCAGCACTTTGGGAGGCCAAGGCAAGTGGATTGCCTGAGCCTGAGGGTTCGAGAACAGCCTGGGCAACTTGACGAGACCTCGTCTCAACAATAAAATAAAAAATTAACCAGGTTTGGTAGCACGCGCCTGTAGTTCCAGCTACTTGGAAGACTGAGGTGGAAGGATCGTCGGAGCCTAGCAGATTGATGCTGGGGTGGTTGTGAGCTTGCCACCACACTTCAGTTGGGGCAATGGAGTGAGACTCCAACTCAAAAAAAAACAAAAAAAACTAGCCTGGGCAACATTGCAAGATCCTATCTCTAAAAATACTAACCATTCACTTAGCTCATAGTTCTACAGATCAGAAATTTAGGCTGTGAATTGTTCTATGGTATGGGAAGCTAATGGGAGAACATGAAGTAAGAACACAAACAATTACCAAAGGAAGCAAAATCTAGCACATAATCATACTGTAAAAAAGAAAATGCTCCAAAGCTCAGGAGGAAGGCTACTGCTCCCTGGACCAGCGAGGAAGTGTTCATGGAGGAGATGGTCTAAAGCTGGCTGAGGACACAGGGAGGGCTCTCATTGATGGCAACTGTGCAACGAGGGAACTTCAGCAGATGGCAAAAATCAGGGCCACACAAATGCCAGACCATTTGGAACCAGCAAACAGCCCATTTGGCTGACTTGTGAAGTGGCGAGCAAGAACAAAAGTGGATAAAGCTAAGAAAAGAGGGCCTTGAATGTCAAGCAAAAGAAGTACCAGGGGGAGGAGGGCAATGGTAGAAACAGCATGGACACAAGGCAGATTCCAGGAAGTCACCTTTTCTCTTGCCATAAAAACATGAGAACAGAGGATCTCCTTGAAGTTTATTTTCCCAAGACTTCCAGAGGTCTTATAAGTCCACAGTTCCTTTGACATACATATCTACACTTCATGCATATCCCAAGGGGAGCCAGAGAGGCCTGTGGAAGGAGCATGCCCAAGGTAGCACAGAATTGGTAGCAGATGGGGATCCAGTGATAGAGAACCTTAGGGTACATTTCTGCCCAGGCGCTAAGACACAGTGGTGACCATGGCAAAGTACTGCTCCTGAGAAGCTCAGAGGGTGGGGGAAGGCTGTGTCCAGATATCTTAAATCCAGGAATTCTTTTCTTTTACTTTTTTTTTTTTGAGTTGGAGTGTCACTCTGTCACCCAGACTGGAGTGCAGTGGCACACTCCCGGCCACTGCAGCCTCGACCTGCTGGG